CACCTGAGCAGGTGTGTGTGCTAACACCTGAGCAGGCGTACGTGCTAACACCTGAGCAGGCGTACGTGCTAACACCTGAGCAGGCGTACGTGCTAACACCTGAGCAGGCGTACGTGATAACATCTGAGCAGGTGTACGTGCTAACATCTGAGCAGGTGTACGTGCTAACACCTGAGCAGGTGTACATGCTAACACCTGAGCAGGTGTACATGCTAACACCTGAGCAGGTGTATGTGCTAACACCTGAGCAGGTGTATGTGCTAACACCTGAGCAGGTGGACTTGCTAACACCTGATCAGGTGGACTTGCTAACACCTGAGCAGGTGTAAACTGCTAAAAGAAGGAGCTAGCTAGCTGAGAGCTAAAAGAAAGCTAACAGAAACAAAACATCAGCTCAAAGGAGCAGAAGGCTAGCTGAAAGCTAAAAGATGGAACTAGCTGAAAGCTAAAAGAACGCTAACAGAAACAAACAGCTCAAAGGAGCAGAAGGCTAGCTCACAGCTAAAAGAAGGACGTACCTAGCTGAGAGCTAACAGCTAACAGCCTGAGCCTTGTTTCTGCCCTCAGGTCCTGCTGAAGAACGTTACGACGGTCTCCCTGCCCTCGGTYCTGGACCCGGTGGTCTTTCAGAGCGTCCTGACGTCTGCCTACACGGGCCAGCTGAGCATCGTGCACGAGGACATCGTGAACTACGTGACGGTGGCCAGCTTCCTCCAGATGTGGCACATCGTGGATAAATGCACCGAGATCCTGAAGAGGCCCCGCCCGTCCGCAGACTCCGCCCCTGCCCCTCCGGGCTCCGCCCCCCGCCAGCAGTCCCCGAGCAGCACGGACTGCCTGTACGCAGAGAGGGAGGCGCGGCGGCGCGACAGGAGGCCCGACGCTCTGCCTCCGTTAGCCACCTGGAGGCGGCCGCAGCAGCTGGCCAGGTGGGGGCGCCCCAGACCCCCGTCAGACCTGCAGTCCGCCGACTCCCAGCTGGACCTCCAGAACTACGTGGACAGCAGAGACTTCTCCTGCTGCCAGGAGGCCTGGCCCTCCAGCCAGGCCAAAAGCAGCTCCTCGGGTCCGGACGGAGCGGGTCAGAACAGCCGGCACCAGGGCCCGGGGCACGCAGCCGAAGCCTCGAAGCTGAAGGTCAGGCTTCAGCAGCGAGGCGCTGAAAGACCGCTGGACAAGACCAGAGACCGGGACCAGACCCGGGACAGGAGGAAGGACAAGAGAGGAGCCCAGGCTGATGGAGGAGGAGGAGACAAAGAGGAGGAGGAGGAGGAGGAGGAGGAGAGGAAGGAGGGGGGCACACAGATGGGTGAGAATCACACAAACCTACTGGACCTGACCCACCAGGTTCTGGTGGTTCTGGAGGTCTTTGAGGTTCTGTCGATGTTCTAACAGTTTTAAACTGTTTACTTTGAGTCGTTGGTTTTTAGAGTTAGGTGGATCTGGACCTCTGGTGGATCTGGACCCCTGGTGGATCTGGACCTCTGGTGGATCTGGACCTCTGGTGGATCTGGACCTCTGGACCTCTGGACCCCGGACCAAAGAAGTCCAGTTTTTAAAGATTTTCTCCTCTCTCCACAGACTTCCTCCCTCCTGACCCAGAGGAGCGTCTCTCAGGCAGGCAGAGTGTGGAGAAGGTCCAGAGAGGTCCTGTTGGAGGCGACCCGTCCTCTGACCCACCTGGACCGGCTGAGGGACCCTCGGTCTCGGGCAGGGTCCAGTGGCAGACGGGACCCTGGTCTCAGAGCGAGCAGAGACCTCAGGTAGGTGATGAAGAGGAGGAGGTGGACTTTGAGTGTCTCACAGACTTCAGCAGAGACACGTTCGAGGAGATCGAGGACGGGACGGGACAGGTGTCCCAGAGGTCTCTGGTGTCTCCGGACTTCAGCCTGGGGGGCTCCGACGGGACCTGGACGTCCAGCGGAGGAGGTCCTGTGACTCCCTCACCTGCTGCGTTTCCTCCTCCCCCGTCCCCTCCCACACCCTCGTCGTCCTCGGCGTCCGTCTCTGGCCCCGCCTACTCAGGGAAGGTGCACTTCTGCCACTGTGGGAAGGCCTACACCCTGAAGAGCATGAGGGACCGCCACGTCAAGATGCAGCACCTCAACCTGCGACCCTTCGTCTGCCCCGTCTGCTCCAAGTCCTTCAAGATGAAGCACCACCTGACCAAGCACCTGAAGACCCACGGGGGGCTGCGGCCCTACGAGTGCTCCGTGTGCGGGAAGAAGGTGGTCTGGAGGGACAGCTTCCTGAGACACCAGACCCGCTGCCAGCGGCTCGCCTCCACCGCCGCCGCCGCCACGCCCGACGGATACGGCTTCCAAGATGGAGAGCTGTTTGTCCCGGCGGGGACGGTGAAGGTGGAGGACGGAGACATCCGCAGGGACAGCAGGGGGGCCGGACTCATGGACAACGGGTCCGGGATGGCTGGGACCCCGTCTCAGAACCTGGACTCTGTCAGTCCTGTTTTTAAAGAGGAAGCAGCCGAAAGCTTCTGAGGTAAAAATAAAAACTTTCTTTAATGTTTTTATTTAGAATAAAGACAAAACAGTTTGTTTTATTTAAGTTATTTTATTCTGAAAGGTTCAGAGACATAATGGAAC